CATCGATCATTTCAAACAGTTCCCCCTTTCTCCCCTTTCTCCTCCCATCTTCTCTCTACCTTCATGGTATTGCTACTCCCATTACTGTTCCTGAGGGGTTTATCTGTCCTGGATTCCGTGTCTTGAGAGCTCTGATCTGTACCAGTGTGCACATTCCAGTCTAGCCAGATTTGTAAGGTAGAACTGTGGTCATGATAGTGATGGGGGGAGGAAGCATTAAAGAACAAGAGGAATAGTGTGTGTTTCGTCGGTGCTATAAAACACCCTCGCTGACTTGTCCATTTCCTTGTGACCCTTCTGTGAGGGGATGTCCAATTATCTACAGGTAGACTTTGAGTCTCCACTCTGACCCCCTTCATTTGCATCAATATGATTGTTCATTTGGGTTTTCTGATGCCTGATACCTGATGCTGTCAGCACCTCATGATCACACAGGCTGGTGTGAGTCTTCCACGTGGGCTTTGTTTCTCCCCTGCTAGATGGTTGCTTGTTCATCTTCAATCCTTTAAGACCACAGACGCTGTATCTTTTGATAGCCGGGCACCATCAGCTTTCTTCACCACATGTGCTTATTTACCCGCTTTGTCTTCAGTGATAGTTTAGGGACGGTGAGCTGAGTGATTTCTTTTCAGTCACAGCATAATGTGGTAATGCTAGACTACACAAAATTTCTAGGATGATTATTATTCTTCATTTGCTTAAGACTAAAATAGGACAAAAGAATCAGCCTAGAAGTTTGCAAAGCAAAGCAAACACATCTCCTTTACAAAGAATCATTAGTTGCTCCCAAATACATATGGTACTTGCAGTAGTTAGATTTTATGTCAGCTTGCCCTTGAGAAGGAGGCCTAGTCCAACCTGTCAATCAGGTTATAGCCTAATGATGCCTCCTGGAAGGTGCAGTCTTTCCATTGGAGAGACACTGGGGACTTGCTCCCCCCCTTCTGCCCCTTCACCTTCTTCCTTACTGGGACTCAGTGTCTACCTCCAGGGGCAGCCCATGTAGGCCGTTGACCCTGGGAGCCAACCTGGAAGCTGCTGGCACCCTGACATGTTTCCACTGACTTTGAATCCACAGGATTCTGTGCCCAGTGGCCTCTGAGCTCCCTGCTTCCTGCTTCACTTTTCGTCACTGGCCTGCAGCTACGTGGGTCTGAAGACAGCTCCTGCTAGCATCAGCGCTATGGTCTTCAGTTAGACTGGGATGGGATGCTTTCTTGACATAAATTAGTGTCACTGGTTTTGTTTCTCTGGCAACCCAGCCTGACACATTATTATATGTGGTCGGGAAGGCTCAAAAAGTTCATGGGGAAAATTCCATTAACTTTTTGAAGTCTCCTTGGAGAAGTGGGGAAATAGATCATTTGGATTTTTGTGTCCCCAGGTTGTAAGGATAGGTGATTATCAATACACAAGCATTTCTTCTTTTTTTCCCCACAAGTATTTCCTTATGTCTATTTTCCAGTTACCTCTTTCTAGACCAACTCTCTTCTTGACCTCATCTTCTGGCTGCAATACATTTTAGATAAATCCTCATGACATTTTCCCTATCATTTCCCAAGGGAACAATGAACAAAACTATATCATAAAATGGTTGTCAATTCATGTCTCAAAATTTCTTCAACCTACTACAAGTATTTAATTGCAGAGAGCTTCTTAGTTTTATGAATTTTAATTTTGCAGTGTGGCCTAGACTGCTATCGGAGAACAATTTTGTAATCAAAACTGTAGTCATTCTCAGAAGATTGCCACATCTCACACATAGTCAGAGAGAAGGGTGGAGAGATTGCTCCTTGTTCCCGTGATTAGTCCTGAAGTCAATTTACAATGGAAATTGTAGAGAGTTTGGGTGGGTTTATAGTTCTCAACCCATGGAAGTTCATGTTTATGTATGCTCACATTTCAGGATAGCAAAAGAAAAGCAAATAAACAAACCACTTTTCTCTGAGTTGGGCAGTGGATAAGGCTGGCTCTATCGAGAGAGGAACTAAAAAAATCAAATCAAAGAGCTTGTGTGCTGACCTGGGATCATCTTGATGAGGTTCTAATTGATCCCCTTCTGAGTTGTCAAAGACATGCTGAACACCACTCTCTGATTTCAATGGCATTTACAGGATTGATAACCACAGATGTGATGACAGTGTTATAGGAAAACAAATCTGCATTAGACAGAGCAACATTTATGGGAATGGGACCTACAGGTAAGTGTTGTCAAAAAACTGGAAAAGGTCCAAACACTTCAAGGAAATGTCAAAGTGTCCCGGAGACCAGGGCTCTATTTTAATTCCATCTTGACTTTGGAACAATTGCACCTCAATTTCACTATCTGTCTGGTGAAAGAGAAGAATAACTGTTCTAAAAGTTTATATATGCATATCTATTTGTAAATATTTGTGTGTATGTTTGTGTGTGTGCGTCTAAAAGCTTGTGGGAAATTTCGCTATCTTTTAATTCCATTTTTTTGCAAAACTTTATTAAATGTATATATAGAACAAAAACCAAACTCACTGCTTCCAAGTTGATTCCAATACATAGTGACTCTATGTATAAAAATAAAATACTGTGGAATTTGTGATATAAGTGCTTACTGGGAATATTTATATGTACACACATATATAAACTATTTGTATATACATATAATTATCTGTACAAATATTTATATGTATGCACATGTAAAATATTTGTATATTTTATATATAAATTTGGTGATATAATATACAAAAAGCATCCTCAGTTATGGCAAGTTTAAATCTTCTGCTTTAGCTCAAACTGTCTGAATTCTTTAAAAAGTAAATACATTTTTAAAAGGTCTTAAGCAACGTACTGTCAAAAGAATCCTCTTGGTAAAAATTGACCAACATATGACACAATTGTAAAATGCTGTATGCAGTGTCCAGCCCCAGTGGACGTTAGAGACAGAGGCACCAGGGAAAGTAGCAGATGGTCAAGGAAATCTTCAGCCTTCTTCCCAGTGAGCACTTATATCACAAATTCCACAGTACTTGATTTTGACTAAAGCTTTTTGTTCGACTTCAAAAGAGATTGATCAGTTCCCATCTAAAAATATATAGCAAGAAAAGTGGGTGAAGGGAGATGTCGGACAGGGCAAGATATGACAAAATAACAATTTATAAACTATCAAGGGCCCATGAGGGAAGGGGGAGCGGGGAGGGAGGGGAAAAATGAGGATCTAATGTCGGGGGTTTAAGTGGAGAGAAAATGTTTTGAGAATGATGTACAAATGCGCTTTACACAATTGATGTGTGTATGGATTGCGATAACAGTTGTATGAGCCCCTACTAAATTAAAAAAAAAAAAGAAACAAACAAAAAATAGAGCAAGAATTAGATTTCAAAATGTAAATCTGTATTTAAGAACATAACCACCATATCAAAGATAAAAATAAAGGGTTCAAATAAGGAGATGCTCAGCCAATCGTTCTTTTACTTGGATGAAAATCACGTGTGACTCTCCTCTTTCTCCTATGCGGGCACTTACTAGAAAGCAAGGTTGGACACAGGTTGAACCATAAGCTATTGCCTATCTGTGGTTTCACATGATGACATCTAATATAAAGACTGGGAAAAACTGGTTATCAGACCTCCAGCCAGTGACATTAGATTGAAGGACTTCGGATAAAGGGAAGCTTTAGAATCCTTGGGTTCCTTAAAACTCTAGACTATCTCAGGCCCAGATATCAAAATATTTCAAAGATCTATAGTGGTTTGCCAAAAAGGAACGGAAGATTAGCAGAATGAACAGAAGAGACAATCTAGTTTCTTTAATATGAGGGCAAGTCAAAATGTATTGCTACCAAACCATACAAAGACATCAAAATGTAAAGTTATTGTTAACTTGATCCATCTAGATCTATACACTTCTGCAGGTGGTGTTTTTATCTCTCTAACCCTCCCGGGAAGAATTCTGTGCTCTTAGATTGACATTGTGCCCACACAGGGGTTTGGGCAGCCTCAAGGAACAAACAACTGTGTTCTTTTTCAATGTACTTTGAGTTTGGGGGAACAAAAAGAAATCTAAAGGGTCAAGATCAGGACTGTACAGTGACAAGTAACGATTCCCAGTGACATTCTTAGGACAAGCCTTTACAGGACAAGCATATTCCTGAGATAATTTTGCTGAAGCCATCGGCTGGTTGCAGAGATATGCTGAGGTTTGTTTTGTTTGGAATTGACTGGAACCCTAGTAGCAATGCCCCAACGCTTCTTTTTTGGTTACTTATCCTCGTACGTGATCTTCTTGGTAAATGTGACAGTCAACAAGTAAACTGAGTGAAGGAAGTGGGTCATCAAGAACTGCAGATCCACGTGAATGAGTTCTAAAGATGGGTCTGCCTTCGACTCTCTGAGCCAGCCTCACGGAGGTCAGATAACCTTTGTATTTAGGGCACAATTAAGCACCATTATATTCCTTACTGGAAGTCAAGAGAATAAAAACATTGTGATGGCCAATGTGGCCAGGCTTTGATTCTCAGTGGTTTGGCAGATATTCTGCAATCCCCTCCCACTTTGTGATCTGAGGTGTGCATCCACTCGGTTGGAAATGGAGTTTCTTTGGGGGCATGACTTGCATCCAGGATGTAAATAGACGTCCTGCCACATCTCTTTCTCTGCCCCTCTCTGCATCTGATCTCTGGTTCTTGGGAGGGAGCCCGCAGAGGTCTCCAGCCTGCTGCCAGACCTACAGATTTTGGATTTGCTAATCCTTGCTAATCTTGTGAGATCGCAGAGATCTCCAGCCTGTCTCCTGACCTTCCGCTTTGGGTTTGTCACCCCCTGCAATTATGTGAGCCAAATGAGGTCATCAGTCTGTCATTTGAACTACAGATCTGAGATTTGCCAGTACTCCCATTGTATGAACCCTTTTCTCACAATTTTGTGGGCCATTTCTCTACGCAGCCAGAGAGGCTTCATTGGTTCTCCTCCCTTTAGACACCGGTGGACAGACTAATTCAATAAACTATCTGAGTCCAGTGATCTTACCTGTTGGTTTGATCTGGTATCACTGAAATTCATCTTCTTCCCCAAGTCTAGAATCACTGCATTCTTCGTTTCACGAATGTAATCGTTGTTAACTGGTTGAGGAGACTTTGCATTTTTCTTCACGAGTCCCCGAGGTGGCCTGCAAAAGAAATTCACATCTGACCCACCATGGCAAGCACTGGTCGGCCTAAAAAGACTTGGAAAGAAGATGGGTTGAAATGGCAACCAGCCACCGGCATTTATTAGACATTTATAGAGGGTATCTTGCGTGAAAAAATTTAACACCGTACAGAGAATATCTATTTTTAGAGGTGATTCAATCTATTTATTTATTTAAGCAGAGGCGCCATGGCGGTGGTATGGGGTGGACCCTGGACTGCTGACGGCAGCGTTGGAATGCCAACCCACTGCACCTCCGGACAAAGGTGAGGCTGTTGCTCTCATAAAGATGTATCCTCTAGCAAACTCTAGACAGGGTTGCTATAAGTCAGAACGGATTGGACACCCGCGGGTTTATGCTTAAGTAGATGGCCAGTGAGAAGGAGACAAGCTATGGCAGTGACACACTAGCCATAGCAGTGGACGCAAACTTACTAACAGTCCCAAAGGTGGCCCAGGCCCAGGCAACGTTATGTTCCGCACATGCACCAGGTCGCCATGAATCTGCACGGGTAAAGGTTTACAGAGCAACTCAGTGCTCTTCTTCTGACCAGAGGCATTGAAGGGAACAAACAAACAAAACCCCCAATCTCACTGCCAAGGAGTCCGTCCGACTCAGAGAGGTTGTAGGGCAGAGTGGACCCGCCCCGGAGCGTTTCCAAGACTTTGCGGGATTGGAAAACCCATTGCTCTCTTCGGGAGCAGCTGGTGGCTTATGAACTGCTGACCTTGCGGTTAGTAGTCGAAAGCATAACCCAGTAGGCCACTTGGAGCCAGACAGAAAGTTGAGTCTCAGACCAAGCTATTCTAGGCATCTGACCCCCTCCGACCGGTAACTCTTACATTTTGAAAGCCTCAAGGACACTCACATGGACGGAGCGCTTCTGGGCAGCCCCATGGCATTGGTGGGTGGGATGGCAGGAAGAGAAGGCAGCACGGAGCTGAGGAAAGCCACTGGGTTCTGGATGCGGTTGGTGGGAGAGACAGGCGTTGGGGACACACAGTGGGGCTGAAACTGGTTTCCGCTGGAGATGGAAAATATGAGTGGCGTCTGCGCCGGCTCTACTGGACCTGGCAGGGGTGCTTCGCTTTGGGTGGCCATCGCTCCCGGGGATTTGGTTTGCATGCAGGGGTGAGAAACCAAGAGGCTCTCTTTGCTGGCTGTCCTCTGGGCACCTTGTGCAGTGATGCTCTGCGTGAACACGGGCGGAGAGCTGGAGGGGGACGCGCTCGCCAGGGTGGCAGTCGTGGAGGGGAAGAAGTGCTTGGGCCGGGCCAGGCTGAATGTCTGTGAGGGTGGGACCTTCCCTTGCTTGCTGGACACGGTCACGGCCGGGGGAGCAGTCAAGTTCGAAAGCGTTGTGCTGAAAGGAAACTCCTTAGGCGATGACGTGGTTGGGCTGTGCACTTGCTGCTGTTCCAGTAAGACTTGATTGTGAAGCTGCTGTAATTGAGTGGAGTCGCTGCAGGGGAACAAGAGCGGGGAGAAATAAGGGAAGGCTGTCACCTGATTCTTCTGAAATGTGCAGACTGGATGCTTATCACGTTGTGCTGATGAAAACGCATGATCGGAAAGGCAAGAACTCAACTAATCACTGAGGAGCTGTTTTCTTCTCTCCCTCGTTCCAAGACAGTGCTATAGCTAGCAAGATGGATGAAGAGGACATGGGCTGCACCGGGCTCCGGCATCGGAATACTGGGTACAGATGGCATGCCTATTACCTATGGATGGGGTTGCTGTGAGTTTGAACCAAGGCCACAGCACCTAACAACAACAACAGCCTATTGTAGCTGAATTGGAAATAGGAAGTAACTCTATGTCTGCTAATTAGGATTCTACAAGATTGGACAACGCCACCTCAGACAGTCTCTTCTGGGGACCTCGTTTTAAGTGTAAGTATTTTTACAATTCGTGTTCTCGAAGGGGCCTGTTTATAAAAGTGATGTTCTTTCAAGAAATGTTAGAAAATACAGAAAAGAATAAAGACTACCTTTATGGTCATCTCCCTGAAATCATATTCTGTTAGCATTTAGATGCAAATCCTTCCAGACTGGCTTCAGATGGTTTCTCTGACACATCTACTTAGATAAATGGTTCTTTAAAAAATGAAACCCCTAGACCAGAGGATGTACATTGGTACAGATAGCAACTTGAGACACAGGGAATCCAGGATAGATGACTTCTTCAGGACCAGTGGTGAGAGGGGCGAGGCCTGGAGGGTGAAGGGAATGTGGGGTAGAAGGGGGGAACCAATTACAAGAATCTAAGTATAGCCTCCTCCCTGGGGAATGGACAGCAGAGAAGAGGGTGGAGGAAGACATCGGACAGGGTAACTTATGACAAATCTATAATAATTTATGAATTATGAAGGGTTCAGGAGGGAGGAGGGAGGAGGGTGGGAGGGGGAAAATGAGCAAATGATATTGAGGGCTAAAGTGGAGAGCAAATGTTTTGAGATTGATGAGGGCAACGGGTGTACATAGGTGCTTGAGTCAGTGAATGTATGTATCACTGTGATAAGAAATGTACGAGCCCTCAATAAAATAATAAAAAAATGAAACCCTTCTCTATATTTGGCTTTGAGACCAGTCTTTTCATTTAAAAAATACCATATGGACATTTTTCTAAATTAATAAATCTGCATCATCCTAATCCAATCTGTGGCTCTACTGTAACAATCCCTTAGTGTGCAACAGTTACCTTAACTTCAATTCCTAAACAATGTTGCAATGAAAAGCCTAGTTATAAACAACTATTTGTGTCATTATCTGATAATTAAGGGGCCCTACTGGCAGGGTGGACTACGTATTGAGCAGCCCATCAGTGGTTTGAAACCATCAACCGCTCTGAGGAAGAAAGACCAGGCTTTCTACTACTCCAGTAAAGATGAACCATCTTGGAAACCCTCACTTCTAGTTTGTTCTTGTAAGGACACTGTGAGTCAGAACTGAGTTAATGGCAATGAGTGAGATATCGTATAACTTTTCTAACAAATGTATATAAATGTACCTATTCGGTTAAAGGCAAATATTAATATTTGCATATATTTAGCAAAACTGTCCTGTTTTATACCACTGTTATACTATTCTACTTCATACTACCACCGGACCACTTAGGCAAGAGTTCTTGTTTCCCCATACCTTAGCATCTATTTTTTAATATCTTACCATTAATCTAGTGGTTAAAATATCCATTATTTTATACCATTTATTATTCCTAGTGATATTGAATATATTTATTATGTACCAGTAATTTTCCCTGCTAGTTTATTGGGGAGGGGCAGATCCTGAACGGAGTTGTAGGCCATGATAAAGAGTTTGGATTTATTCTAAGTGGATAGGAAGCCACTTGAGGACTTTAAGGACATTAGTAAAATAATCCAAGTTGTATTTTACATAGATGATTCTGTCAGCTACTCAAGAATGAACCAAAAAAGTACTGAAAAAGTCAAAATGGAGAGGCCAATTAGAATGTTAGTGGACCAGGTAAGAAATGGCGGCAGACTGGATCAGGATGGTAACAGTAGCGATGGAGAGAAGTGGATAGGTTCTGTACATTTCTAGAAGAGAATCAACAGAATTGATGATGGATTGCATATGGGGGATAATGAAAATGAGGGGTCAATAATGTGTCCTAGGGGCTTGCCTTGAGCAGCTAGGTTTATAAGAATACCACTTATGAGATGGAGAAGAATGGGAGAAAAAGCAGTCTCAGAGAGGATGATCAGGAGTTCATATTGGACAAGCTAAATTGGAATGTCTGTGGGGGAATCCGAGGGAGGATGTCAAGTAACCCACTTCCATCGAATCAACTCTGATTCATAGTGACCCTAAATAGGGTTTCTGAGGTTGTAAATCTTTATGGGAACTGACAAGCTCATCTTTATCTTGTTAAGTGGTTGGGAGGTTTGAACTTTGAAGTTCACAGTCCAGTGCGTACCTGAGTATACATGTAAGGTGCTCAAAAGACAGGACTGTGAGAATCATCAATTGGTAGCAGGCATGTCAAGCCATAGGAGAAGATATGATCTACTGGGAGGAACATGTGGGCAGAGAAGAATCCAGAGTTGTGCCCTAGGAGGGAGTAAGGGAGCAGAAACCAACAAAGGAAACTGAGAAGAAGTATCTGGGAAGTGAAGTGTTATGAACACCGAGAGAAGAAAGTATTTCAAGGAGGAAGGAAAGTTGTATAATGTCAAACACTGCTGAGAGAGAGAGATGACCTGCTGATTTGGGCAACATGAGGAATTGGATCACATTTCCTGAAACCCATTTTAATGACATCTTAAAGATATAATCCAATTTATGGACTACTGTAAATGGAAACCCTAATGCATTAATGAAATCTCTTTTGGTTTTGTGATGTCTCATATCTATACACTTCATCTTAGTGCTCCATAATGCAATATGCTGCTCATAATCAGTAGGGTCCACAAGACCAGGCTTGAAAGTGTGAGGACCAGGTCTACAAGAGATGTGGGCAAGACTTAGAAGTAGGAAAAATGATCCTTAACATATCACTGTGATGTTTCTTCAGTAATCTTTTTGTTACTAGAGTCCCATTGTTCTGAAGACATGAAGAAGGACCAAAAATGTAATAACTTGTAAAATGATTAGAACATGAGTTTAAAATACTGGAATGAAAGTCATGAGTATGATAAAGCAGCCAGAGCTCCTGTCTGTTCCTGTTCCTGTTGGCTCACACTATAAACTGTGTACTTGCCCTCCTTTCCTATTTTAGAAGCAAATAAGCTGAGTTAATAAAATAATATAAGAAACCTGTTATTAGCTACTGAAATTTCATAGTAGCTGAATAATTCTACAAAGAGCAGCAGAAATACACTTGTTGCATTATCCTTAGAGAACGATCTACAATTAACTTGACTTTTGCTGATGTTGACTTTCCTTTTGACTTTTTGATGGAGCTTATATTTGGTGGATCACATACTGTGCTGCCGTAGCAAATAGATAGCATTATGTTATCCGCAGGGCATGTTTATATTGCAGTCTGGGTACACTTTAATCTGATGCTGCTGCAGAAATGTTTTATTGTGGTTATGGAAATTTTAAAAGGTAGCTGTGACAAGTTAGTGATCTTAGAAATAAAAGGAAGGCAAAGAGGGACTAGGACGGTGTTGGCTAGCTCTTCTTTTGTTTCCGTTCCCATTGGACAAAAGCTAACAACAAGGTTTCTTCAATGTACTTGGTAGGGAGAAAACAGGCACAGGCACTTCCTGCTCTATCTTGTTGCAGAAAGGACATAAAAAGAACTGTTTGGATTAGTTTATTGATTACAACAAGGGACAAGATGCTCTATCCTTTATTCAATGACGTTTTGTGGAGACTTTTATGTTTCTACTTTGCTAGGTGCTATCAGAAATATAAATACACTAATATGCACTATTGAGGGTTCCAAAGTCTAGTGAGCATACTACATTTAGTACAAATAACCACTGCTTATTTAGAAATAGTGCATGGAACCGAGCACTTACTAATGAAGGTACAAAGTTCAATGAAAGAATAAAGGAAGGGAGATTAATTACAAAGCACACCAGTTCTGGAATCTCAAGTAACCCCTTTAATTTGTAGGAACAGCCTATAATAAATTGCTATAAACTCAGTTGCTCTCTGGAGATTGGACAACTTGAGAGGATTACCTTAGAATATCTTCCCCTTTGCTACCACTTAACAATATTGTGAAGAATATAAGTTCTGTCAACGGATCCAGGTCCTAACGCTGGCTCTGCCATTTATTATCTGTGTGAATTTGAGTAGCTTCTTAACTGTTCTGACTTCCATTTCCTTCTAAGTAAAATAAGAATGACTAAACAATACCTCTTAAAGCTATTGTGAGAAGTGATGAGAAGACATGACTAAATCACCTGACACATAGAGCTGATCAATAAATAGCAACTCAGATTTTTTTTATTTCCTGAATGACTCAAATCAATTTCAAAATCTGTCAGAACAAAAAGCAGGATTCCAGGATTTTAATGGTGCTTCTCATTATGGTTTCTGAAACACAAAGGAATTTCTTAAGAATTGTGAATTGTCAAGATGAAAGGCCAAGACTTGGTGACAAATACAACAAAACAAACTTGGGATATCGTTAGCAAGTACTTTCAAAATAAAATGTGATGACAGTCTTAGCATCATGTGCTCTCACTAGCTCCTTAGAGCCGACAGTGCACATCTCATCCCAATTCCATGATCAATGTTGTTAGCTGCTGTGGAATTTGTCCCTGACTCATGGGGCCCCAATGGCCAATTGAATGAAATGCTGCCCACATCTGCAGCCTCCTCTTGACTGACTGTAGATGAGACCAGACCATTGGGATCGATAAGGTTTTACTGTCTGTTTTTTTAGAGGAGATAAGCAGGACTTTCTTTTTGTCTTAGTCTAGAAGTTACACCAAAACCCTGTTGAGCATCATAGCAACATGAAAGCCTCCATCAATAGACAGGACTGTGCGTGCAATGCATTGGCCAAGAATTGAACCTGGAGCTCCCACGTAAAAGGAGGGAATTCTACCACTAACCCACCAGTGTCATTAGTAGCTTAAAATTAGCCACACCTTAATAAAGTGATTAAAAAAAAAACTGTTGAAAAGAAAAAAAAATTAGCCACAGTGGGAGTATTTACACCATGAAAATTGGCAAGTGCTACAAATTAGGACTTCCCAAACTCTACCAGCTGTTCAACATTTGCAGCACAGCTCAAAGGAAAAACAAAGGACCCTCACTGATTCCTGGGGACCATTGCCGAGAGAGTGAAATTGGTCTGAGATGAAATTGGGGCATAGACCTCACTATCTTGGTGAGTTTAGGTTGGTGGCTCTTAAACTATGGCTTGCAACAAAATTTCCTGTGGGGCTTGTTAAAACACTGATTTCTGGGCCCCAGTCCTAGAGTTTCTGATTCTACAGGCCCGGGCAGGGCCTGAGAGTCTACATTTCTCTCAAGCTCCCAGGTGATGCTGTTGGCTCATCTACCCCATTTCACCTGCAAGGCTCTATGACTCTTCAGTGCATCCAGGGCTGAAAACCCAAACTCACTCCCTTGGAGTCAATTAAGACCCCTAGTGACCCTATAGGACAAGGTAGGGTGCCCTGTGAGTTTGGGAGATGGTAAATCTTTGTTTTTTGTTTTTTTTTCTTTTCTGTCAATCCATACTTTCCATTTTTATTAAATTCCACACTGGTTTCTTTATGAGTTCTCCCAAAGCTAACACCAGAAATCAATGTTTTCCCAAGAGCCCCACAAGGACTCTACCCAGTACCATGGGTTTTTTGTTTTTAACATTTTAGATTTTTTTTTAACATTTTATTAGGGGCTCATACAACTGTTATCCCAATCCATACACACATCAATTGTGTAAAGTGCATTTGTACATCGTTTCTCAAGGTAAATCTTTGTAGGAGCAAAAGTTTCCCCTTTCTGACTGATCTGAATTACTGACCTGGTGGTTAGCAGCCCCGTGTGTAAGCACTAGGCATTCAGGGCCCCTACTAAGAACCTCTATTTTAGAAGCAATATTCATTTCTCAAGCATAAGCTTTCTCCAAATATTCTAATTGTCCTCTGATGTTTCACTCACCTTTCATGTTAATTGCCTCCCCCACCCCTCACTGGGTGGAGAGTGGGAGAGGGGGCAGCAGGAATTGAACTCAGTCCACTTCACTAGCCCTGGACCATGACTTCCAAACTGGCTGCATACTGAATCATCTGTGGAGGGATTCGGTTCTTTAGGGATAAAGGCATATCATGTTTCCCTCAAAGCTCCAACTTTGAGTCTAGGCAGAAGCCCCGGTGGCACAATGGCTGCCGACCAGAAGGTTTCAGCCTACCAACTGCTTCATGGCCGAAAGCTGTGCAGGTGACCTTCGGTAAAAGAGTCGCAGACTCAGAAACTCTACTGGTGGCAGTTCCACTGCATCCGATAGGGTTGCTATGAGTCAGGATCTATTTGATGGCTATACTTTTTGTTTTGTTTGATAATTTAAGTGTATTCAGGATAAATAATTATTGCTCTTGATAGCTCGATAGTCAAGTAAAAGATTTTAAAATCCAAAATATTTAGGCTTTGATTATAAAATATTTAAACACTACAGTCTCTCTCTTTTTTTGAGTTTAAAGATCTATGAGTATTATTTCTATTTGCTATTTGTCATTCATTTATTTCCATTCACTATTTATTACTACAAATAATACTACCTATTTTTATTATCTATTATTTATTTATTCTCTATCATTATTTACTATTTAATTCTGTTTACTATTTATTTTCTATTTCCATTCTTTTGAATGGCAAATTGAAAGTACAAACAAAATTATAGTCTCAAGATTATTAAGAAAATGAATATTTTCATGTAAAATCTGAGAGGTTAAAAGAAGTAAGAGAAGTTTATAGGCATGCAAATTCACAAAGGATGTGGGTTTGTGTGTGTACGCGTGTGTTTGGTGCAGGGGAGGATTGATTGTGTGCATGTGTATTTATAATCATACTAATATGAACATATATATATACACACACACACACACACACACAATTAAGAGAAAATTCAATGTGAATCAAAATTTTTAATAAGGATATGGTGCTGAGGACTGGAATAAAAAGGGCATTGCCATATCATTTAGCAGGAAGAATTTTGAAATGAATTGGATGTCTCATGTAGCAGACACTGCTCCTTAGCTAGAGCCCAGTTTTATTCATGGTGGCAGTCAGGTCTAGCGAAGGACTACACTCTGAATTTCTTTGTTAGTAGTGTAAGAGATGAGTAAGTTCTGGTGGCTCTGTAAGCAGAAGATTTTGGGTGAGACTGCTAAAGACGACCTTTACTAGATGGGAGTCTGGCCTCAGAACCATGCATGTCCGCCCCTTTATCCCTGTCAGTAGCCCAGAGGCAGATGTGAGGACTAGGTCACCATGGAGGGACCTGGAGAAGACGCCAAGGCTAAAGGTGGCAGAGCAGTAGATGACAGGAGGCTTGGGTCCTGCAATAGTCCTGGGCTGCCCACCTAATTCCTTGATGTGGAAGACAAGAAACCTGTATGTGGTTAGCTCAGTGTTCGTTTAGGTTTTCTGTTTCAGGAAGGTAAGCCTAATCCCACCTGGCATACTCACTCACCCTCTGAACCAAGGAGGCGCTGTCAAGAAGGCAAATCCCAGCAACGTTGGTTTGCTTTTCCGTTTCCCATAGCTCCTTTCTCTGACAACTGGCCCAGCCCACAGGTTCTGACTTGATCCACGTGCCTCTACTTTCCGCACTTAAATCCTCTGCACAGCTGCGTGGGGGGTGGGGTGGGGTGGGGTGGTCACCTGACCAGACCGGGCCAATGTGAGATAGAGTTACAGACCACGATTGTGTCAGCAGTGGAGCTTGACATGGATCTGGATGTGTCGTGAGGATGTGGCATGACGGGCCAGGGAGGAATTCAAAGAAAGAAGAATGGAGCAGGTGCGCACAGAGGAAAGAACCGACAGTACTGGAGTACTCAAACAGGTCGCCTGGGGGATGGAGAGAGACCGAGTGGACCACGTGACCCCTGAATGAGAGATGAGTGGGCATAGCCCCTGGCCCTAGTTCTTTCTCCAGGCAGGCCTGGTGGAGGTTTGCTCCAACAATGACTTCTTCCTTTCAGTGGCTTTCTGTTTATTGTGAGCTACCGAACATCGACTTATAGTGCTGGCGAAGACGATAGAAAGCGCCACGGACTGCCAAAAGGACAAACAACTCTTCTTGGGAAAAGGTCAGTCAGAATGCTCCTTGGAAGCAAGGATGGGTATGCTGTCAGGACAGACCAGTTCCTGGAAAAGGACACCAGGCTGGGGAAAGCAGAGGGGCAGCGAAAGAGAGGAAAGCCTTCCAGAAGATGGTTGGACCCCGGGGCTGCAACGACAGGCTCCAACAGGGCAGTTGTGCGATGCTCTCTTGGCCACGAGGTCACGTGACTGACTCCACAGCACCAAACAATAAGGACACAACAAGGCTTGGAAGGGTCGGAGATTCTTGGAGATGACTTGTTGAGGCCCATTTTTTATCCCTCGCGGTGAAGCCCAGGATTTTGTCTTAGGTGGTGGCAAGAAGGATGTAAAACGAAGGAACATGCACTGCTCTCAATGACCACCTGAGGGTCGTCACTGAGAAGCAGGATGAGGGCTCTGTGGCTGCCCATTTTAATGCTCATAGCTGAAGGTCTGATGTCGTGATCAACACCGTGCACGGGTGGATGAGACAGAGCAGCACAGCAGCATCGAGTCTGTTTGTTGGCGATGCGTGAACATGAAACACTCACCGGATCCCACAGAGGCTCGGGACTGGTACAGCAGAACTGGTACAGGCACTGAAGTGAGTTGGAAAGTCATGACTCTTCTTTTGCCCGAGTATATTTACACAAAACCTACAGGCGTTTCTGTAGTTGTTCACCAATCTCAAAAGACTATTGGAAAAAATACTAAATAATGACTAAACAAGTTCAGGTTAAAGCAAAGGTGGGGAATTTAAAAATGAGACCTCGACTATCAAGATTATTAGACACAGACCATGTTTTGTATGAAGTGGGTGGAAATGCTTTGCCTGGAGGTCTCTAATGTTAAAACAAATGCCTTTCTGAATAAATTTAAGGATAGTCGTGTTGGGAGGTAGGATATTAATGGCAAGGACAGTAGTGATAGTGCACTTATAATGATGTTAAGGATGTGCTGTTTTCAAAGCATTTAATGTGTATTTTCCCTTTCACAGGATCCAGTCGTAAGAAGGGAAAACTCAAGAGAAGCTTACAGGTGCTCTTGGTCACCTATTCTAATGTCTACTTACAGTTTGGGTTTAGCCAGGACTGGAGGCGGCTCTTTGATGGGTGAAGAAGGCTCCGAGGGTTTTGCTGCCTGTCCATTGAACCTCTCTTGGAAAGAATTGGGCCTGTTCTGGTTGGCAGCAGGTGTTCCACCCGCAGAAGATGCTTTGCTTCCTTTGTCATCTTCGGGCAGATTAAAGTGCACCCGGAGACCAATCCTTGAGCTGGACCGGGGCTCGTTGTGGTTCACCAGAACCCCTTCGAGTTTGGGTCTGGGGGGTTGTTCCATAGAAGGTGGCTCCAGGTTGGGTAGGGATGGCTGTTGCCCGATGACGGTCAGGTTGCTGGTAGAATTGGCTGAGTGAAGAGTCTCATTATTGCTCAGGTCTTCATTTCCTAAAAGGACAATCACAGGGCCCAAGATGTTAACTGTCCCTAACAAGACGGAAACAGAAGTGTAACTCTGAGTTGGGCATGCAAGCAAATGTGACAGTATTTAAGCCAGTGCATGTACGAATGGGAAGATTTATCTAAAAGCCAGGGAGCATAATCCAGTATTAAAGAATGAAGAGGATGTGGGGAGGGGGAAAAACCTAACTCAAGAATCTAAATAGTATTTTGAGAGTAATTTTAGAAATATAGATTACTTCTAAGGAGCCCCGGTGGCACAGTGGTTAAGCAGTCAGCTGCTAGCTAAGAGATTGGTGGTAAAACGACACCAGCTGCTGCATGGGAAAAAGATGTGATAATCTGCTTCCATAATGATGACAGCCTTAGAAACCCTACGCACCCCACTCCTCACTTGGGCAGGAGTGACCTAGTTAGATACCAAAGGCCAGGTCGTTATATGAAAATTGGTGTTATTGAAATATGGAGGATGACCACAGCAAATCACAAAATGGAGGAGGGCCAAACAATAAGAACAACAACAAGACTTTGAAGGGACAGAGATTTTTGGATATGACTTGTTTAGAGGCCCATTTTCTAACACTTGATGTGAAGCCCAGAATTTTGTCTTATGTAGTGGTAAGAAGGACCACATCAAGACATAACTGCCAAATTACATCATTCCACAACCAAGAATCGTGGACCAGCCAAGTTGACAGATAACCATCACAGACCAGCGTTACACTTGCCTCAGACTCAGTGTTCATTATTGTCTGGTAGATGATGTGAAAGTGCAGAATAGTCAATGTTTTTTACTACAGTTGTAAAAGTGAAAAATCAGGCAACAAGATAATAAGTAAGGGGTAGGTGCAGGGCACTTCTACTTTGTGCAGTAGGGTCACCAGGAGTTGGGATTGACTCATGGCAACGGATATAAGAGACAACAGCAGGGTAACTGTGGCCGTTATGATGGTGATTTTAAATGCAATAAGAAAAGACTACCAGAGAACGAATTTTGTTCAAGACTACTTTCCTTTATGATTTAAATATTTTTAGGGGAACCAAGCTAGCTTCATATGAAAACAGTAAAGAAGTGCTATGTAAACTTTGTATTCATAGGAAGGTCAAGTCTGAACTGTGATGGCATCAGAGGAGCCCTTACCTCTCACATGCAGTTGTGCAATGCTTGACACGGTGCCATATTTGTTGCTTGCTGTGCAGGTGAAGCACCCAGAATCCTCTGAGAATACCTCAGCAATGACCAAAGTACAGATCTCCTCTAGATGCCAGTAAAACAGAATGGTTAGTTATAGAAATGGAAAAAAATATGGAAATGGAATTATAGAATTTACTGATATCTGATAACGACTTAACAAAAGTCAATGGAAGAAGAACTGATTTTAATTCTTCTAACAGAATTAGCCAAAATGATTATTTTGATTGAATTGGTTAATTATGAAATGAAATGAGTCATAGGTTGTAGATCAAAAGCAGAGAGGGTATTAGACCAGGATTATATAATAGCATAGTGAATTATATAATGAATTATCTTATATTTTTATATCATGAGTCTAGATGACATAAAATCAAACTGGATACACGTAAAAACATATATGTGTGCATATTATGTAACAAATGTAAAATAAATCACAAAACCAAATTAAGTATCAAAGCTTTAAGAGTTAAATACAGACTAATAAAATGTTTTTAAACCCAGGCCACTAAATATATTCTCATGGAACGTTTTTTACAGTGAGGCAATTTTTAACAAAGTCACAACTTACATCTAGAGAATAAGTCCATAGGTTGCTTAGCTTCAGAGGGATTGGCATCCCACTTGTAGAAAGGGAACTAATCGCATTTAGGTGATACAGTAATTTGAAATTTTGAAGCAAAGAAGAGTGAGATGTTTACCTTCCTTTGTTATACTATGGTAATGCTTTGTGGTTTACTCTGATACACAGTATGAGCAATTAACAATAAGTACACAGGTAATTCGGCTATAGTGCCGAACGAAGCCTAAAGTTATTACAATGACCTGATAGCTAAGGAAGAGGAGGCATAAGATAGTAGCATAAACCCTCAAATATCACTCAATACACTGGACATGAAAAATAAAATGATTCAAACATAATTTATCCTAGAAGGGGCTGTTGCCGATAGTGTGGAGTGACTATTCAGTAACCCTGCGTCCTGCTTCCCTCGCTAATCATATTTTGATGTTGTCCACCCTCCTTGGGAAAGTCATATGCTTTGAGGCAAGCTGGCCTTTCTTGGTGGTGATTGAAGTCGGCACAAGTCCGTCACGATGGCTACTCTTGCTAAGGGGTGGCCCACAGCACGCAGTTCTGACCAATGAGATGCGAGGGAAAGTTTGCTGGCAACTTTCTGGGAAAGGGCTCCTTGTTCTTTATGACAGACGAAAGAGAGTCTCCCTAGTTTTGCCTCTGGGTGTTGTTATCTGCACACGATGCCAGGAACTGGAGCAGCAATTGTGGGTCCCCAGATACAGCCAGGCTAAGATGATACTTTCAAGATGGCAGAGTGGAAAATAAAATTTAAAAGGTTTAGCCCGTGGAGTTCCCTGATCTGCTAAACCAGCCAACCCCAGGACGGGCATTTCTTAGACAGGCTTGTTGTATGAGCATACGCTTCTCATGACTTGCTGCCTGAAGAATTGTAAATGAAGAGGCAACGTTTGGGGCATCTGACCTTCTTGTGGTTTTGAGTCCATGACCTATACTTCTTTTTCTCTGTTCCACTGCCCAGATACTCAGACTCTGTCTTTCGGCAGCCTGCTCTCAGCAAATGATCTGACACGTTCATTCTAACTAGACCAGACCCTATCTGCTTACTAAGCTATTCTGCGTCCCAGGGTGTTTGCTTATCTAAACTGGAAGGAACGACTCTCTAATTGTGAAATGTTAGGGTTCACTGAGCTAGCCCTGTTTTGAGCAGGGACCTCTTCTGGATGGCTCTGAAATGAGTTGGTGCGTGGGACTGCCTAATGAAAAACCCAGTTGGGATGAAAGTGTCAAAAGCCTAAAATAATTTCAGGGGGTAAAAATACTGCTCCTCTCCCAGCAATGCAGAGTGAAGACTACTTGTGGTCTTTGTTACGGATCCCCAGGGCCAAGTAGGCAATGTGGGGGTCCAGGATCTGCATCTGGAATGCCTTCCCAGGCAGCTGTCAGAAGAGAGAATTGTAACAACGAAATCCTTCTCCACGGGTCAGATACAATTTGACAGTCGCCGGAGATGGCCTTTCGATGTTTATACAAGTGGTTTGTGAGTGATTTGCATCTTTTAAAGGTAAAATTTTTGCCAACTACATGCTACTTCTGCGCTGTCTCTAGTATCCACCTAACCAAATCTAAGAACACAACTGGCATTACATGGAAGCTCCACAGAATTTTGAAATCTAGTGTGCAAGGTTTGAAACACAGGTACTGGTAGAATTAGAATTGACCTAACATTAGGGAAATTACTCTGCCCAGTTTGGGAAATCACAGGTAGGTTTCTGAGCACGGAAAAAACAAGAACCCAGGTCAGCGCCATGGAGTCAATGCAGTATGATCTAGTAGGGCAGCGTAGAACCGCCCCTGTGGGTTTCTCGGACCGTAACCCTTTACAGCAGTAGAAAGCCTCATCTTTCTCCTGCAGAATGGCTGGTGGTTTCAAACTGCTGACCTTGCGGTTAGCAGCTCAACTCATAACCACTGCACCACCAGAGCTCCTTAGGATCTGAGCACAGAGGGAAAATATTCCTAAGAAACTCTCCTTCATAACTAATGACAAATTTTATTCATGTGAATATTGAATATATACTGCAAATTCTCATGTTTCCCTCTCTCAACAGTAATAGCTTGCATTGGTTAGCTTCTTTTCCTCTAAAACCTTAGCTATTTTTCTCTTTGTTCTTGACAAATAAATAATCCCTATTTTTTCATGCATTTATCAACTCGATGAAAACAGACTTTCAAATTAAAATGGACATAATCCATTACCTGGCTCTGCCATGGACCGAGGTTCTGAAAAGAAAAGAGAAAGAGAGAGAGAGACAGAGAGAGAGTGCACTTACTTTACTGAAAGGCTACATATTCATCACAAGCATCCTACAGAGCTCTAAACCAGGAGGACAGGATGGGTACCCCAGGATGGCATCAGGAGAGCAGCGAAGTCAATGAAGCTGCCACAAGCAGGGGCACACCTGGGTTCCACTCGGGGGATGTCAACCTTAGGTGGGGAAAACTTAACTGTGCTATCTGGGATGGAAAAACCACGAACTTTTACTGGCACTCAATCGAGTTGTACCTGAAAGGGGTTTGTGAAGAGTGAGAGACCATGCCTGGCTTCAGGTTCTCCCATCTTAATGTACTGTCGCATCTACTTCTTGCTCTGAACTTTCTGATAGCGAGAGCTTCAAGATAGGTCCCTGGAGAGCAGGTTCTGTATCTTAAAATTCTTCGGTGTCCTGGAAGTGCCTAGTGCAATACTGAATGAAGTGTTTATTGAATTGCAGGCCTTCAGTGAGTGCTTGTTGAACTTAGATACAATATTCTATTTCGTAACTGATAAAACAGTTTTATCAGTTACAAAAATGAGTAGGTCTTTTGACTTCCCAAGCATTGCTGGTTGTTGTATACTATGGCAAGGGCACCATGTGTCCCAGTCTACCTGGGGCAGACATGGTTTATGCCTCTCACTCTTGTGTCATTATTAATAACATTCTCTTTCACTCTTTTTTTTTAAACATTTTATTAGGGGCTCATACAACTGTTATCGCAATCCATGCACACATCAATTGTGTAAAGCGCATTTGTACATCATTCTCAAAACATTTTCTCTCCACTTAAACCCCCAACATTAGGTCCTCATTTTTCCCCTCCCTCCCCGCTCCCTCCCGCATGAGCCCTTGATAGTTTATAAATTGGTATTTTGTCATATCTTGCCCTGTCCGATGTCTCCTTTCACCCACTTTTCTGTTGTGTGTTCCCCAGGGAGGAGGTCACATATAGTTCCTTGTATCTCTTTCACTCTTAAGCACCCCAGTTTGGATGCTCGACTCTGTGATCATCATAAAGCTCAATCTTTGGGATGGCATTTTACAATGGACAAGGAAGCTTCAAAAAATGTGAACTATGTTAGCAATTCCAGTATTAGAGATTTATTCCAAGATTATAACTATAGATATTCACAAAAACTTTCTCTATGAACATACATTGATACAGTTTTAATAATAAAAACTTGGGAACAATCTAAATGTTCAACAATGGGAGATAAACAAATATGGGATTGGATGTTGCCAGTTTGTTTTAAAGAGCAAGAGAGAGCCATATTAACATGGAAAGATGTTCATGAAATGCTGAGTGAAAAAAATGTACACAGCATGACTTTATTTTTACTTTAAAAATATATGGATGGAAAAATTTCAAAAGAATTTGTGCCATAAAATCAGTAGTACTTTGGCCTTAGGGGAAGCATGCTTTAAAGGTGATTTCTATTTTATTCTTTTTTGATAATTTACATTTTTAGTTAGTTGCTAAATAGCTATAAAATAAATTTATAAGAACAAATTGGTGCATAAGCAAATGTGGTGAAAAAAGCTGATGGTGCCTGGCTATCAAAAGATATAGTGTCTGGGGTCTTAAAGGCTTGAAGTTGAACAAGTGGATATCTAGCAGAGAAGCAACAAGCCCACATGGAAGAAGCACACCAGCCTCTGCGATCATGAACTGTTGATGGAATCAGGTAACAGGTACCAGAAGACGCAAAACAAAACAAAAACATGCTGTTGAGAATGAGGGGGCCCAGAGCAGAGACCCCAAACCCAACTGTAGACAACAGGACATACTCTCACAGAAGGGTCCCAAGGAAGGGATGAATCAACCAGGGTGCAGTATAGCACAGATGAAACACACAATATTCTTCTGATTCTTTGAGGCTTCCTCACCCCCGTTCCACCCCCACTATCATGACCCCAGTCCTGCCTTTCAGTTCTGGCTAGACTAGAGCATATGCACTGGTACAGATAAGAGCTCAATGCACATGGAATCCAGGTCAGATAAACCCCTCAGGAACAGAAATGGGAGTAGGGATACCAGGAGGGTAGGGGGAAGGTGGGGAGGAAAAGGGAACAGATCGCAATAATCGATGAATCACACACACACCCCAGGGGGATGAACAACAAAAATGTGGGTGAAGGGAGACAGTGGTCAGTGTAAGATATGAAAACAATAATAATTTATAATTTATCAAGGGGTCATAAGGGGGGGAGGGGAAGGAGAGAAAAAAAAACAGGAGCTGATACCAAGGGCTCAAATAGAAAGTAAATGTTTAGAAAATGATGATGGCAACATATGTACAAATATGCTTGATACAATTGATTATGGAATGATATAAGAGCTGTAAGAGCCTCCAATAAAATTATTATTTTTTAATTATCAGAATCTCAGGCATGGTTAATAGTGATGAGCACAATAATGTCACTGAACTGTGGGGTGTGAAGAATGTAGAAATAGCAAATGTCTTGTTACGTATATAGCAAATGTCTTGTTACGTATATTTACTACATCTCAAAAATGGAGAAGAAAGGATCAGAAAAATAATTTTAGGCATCCACTCACTTTTCTGTAAAATTCGAAAGTCTGGAGAATCTTCTATCAAGGTCCCTTCTCTGTACCACTCAACCTTAGGAGATGGGGCTCCTTTCACTCTGCACTCGAAGACCACCAGCTGGCCCTCGGAGGCGGATAGGTTCTGCAGCATCTGTAAGGAGAAGGATGTTGCCAGATCCCAAACGTGCGTGCTCTTGGAACCTACTTTCCTTGCTGTTAAAAAAAAAAAGTCAGCAAAAGTTGCATTTTCTCCAAGTCTTCCACATCTCCAGCAGCTTCTAGTCCATGGATGTACGTGGTGCCTAGGCACTTTGGAAGATTGAATCACCTGGGCCCACAGAAAGCTGTAACCATATTCTCTTTGTCTGTTACCACCCTGCTTCAGGACTAAGTATATCATTGTTGTTGTGAGTTGCTGCCGAGTGGGCTCCGACTCTTGGTGACCTTATCTAACGTAGAACAGAGTAAAACACTGTCCAGCCCTGTGCCAGCTTCACAACCATCGACAAGTGTAAGCCCATTGTTGTGGCTGTTGTATCCACCCATCTCACTTAGCCACCCTTAATGTCTCATCCAGGGGGTGTGCAAAAATACTACGTTTAAGTCTAGTACTTCACTGGCACGCATGAGGTTATTGTTTTGTTTTTGGCCCAATGCCTTTAACTATGGAAAGGTTATGAGTAAGCATCCTCCATGAATTCTGTAAGTAACAAATCTTGAGACCTGCATTTAGGCAAGAGCCACATTTGTTTCAGAGAAAGGGAAAACCAATGGGTTTACTACTTATGTCATTCACTCTTAGAAGAATGGTATCATTGTTTACAATTCTTGTCTGAAAAACGTACACTGTTTTGTATGCGACGCCCTTGATAATGAGGGCATTTGCCTAAGGAATACGAACAAACAAACAAACAAACAAACAAAACCCCCAAGGCTATTGCCACTGAGTTGCTTTCCGCCTATGGTGATCCTTCGGGTGGGGTAGAGCTGTTGGCACACTTTTCTTTCGGAGAGTGGCTGGCAGGTTCACACCACAACCTGGTTGGTTAGCAGCTAAGAACTTTGCCTAGTGCACCACCAGGGCTCTTTTCCTAAGGAATGTAATGGTTGGGCTAACCAGACCGCCGTAGCTCCAGTAGACTTACTTTTAACCTCAGAAGAGTGTGTAAGTTGGTACTGTAACTGATGAGGGGCACTGTCGTTCAGTGTTAGTATTCTGTTCCCTTTGTGCCTCCACATTTGTTGAAGTAATTCAGAACATGGTTAGGGCAGAATGATTTCGAAATGAATAAAGAACTTTTTGACTGAAAAATCACTTTATTCCTTGTCTAACCAAAACAACATCTGGTGGCAAGGGTGGGGTGTTAACAAAAACATTGATCTCAAGTTGATTATAAGAATGACCCTCTAATTCAGGAGGGTGCAAGGGTGGGGGAGGGAGGGGAAAAAAGAGGAGATAATACCAAGGGCTCAAGTAGAAAGAAAATGTTTTGGAAATGATGATGGCAACATATGTACAAGTGTGCTTGATACAATTGATGTATGGATGTTATAAGAGCTGTAAGAGCCCCCAATAAAATGATTTATTAAAAAAAAATTACCCTCTAAGACAAACTAGAGCTGTCCCATAGGGTCTCCAAGGCCAGAGATCTTTATGGAAGCAGACTGCCACGTCTTTCTCTGGTGGAATAAAAGATTTTCAAAAACCACCCTGAGTCAATGGTGGATTTGAACCATTAACCTTTTGGATGGCATTCCAGTGCCTAATCACTGTGGCATTGAGATCCTTTAATAAGAACAAACAAGTGCCAATCTAGTCTCAGATTTTGCTAGCAAGCCAGAGCACATGGCCTCCATCCGGACATCTGAGCAGACTCTGTGCTAAAATGCCAGCTTGGGACCTATTAAAAACTTTAATAGAAGTCAGACAGTGATCTGTGATTCCTATCATTTAATGAGTTTTTAGTCGTTCTTGAAGCAAACAAATTAGAAAACAAAAATAAAAAATGGGTGACAGGAACTTATTGCATAAGGATATATGGTACATATATAGAATTGGATATAACCAAAATGTAGCTAACTTACATATTTATCTCACACATAAGTTGTAGTTAGTTCAAATGCAGTTTATATGAATCACTTCTCAATTCACAGCGTCACACCAAAGCTCTGCTTTCATAGCGACTCTTTAAGAGTCTGGATGGAGTTTGGTGACCAACGTTGTTGGACGCTGTCAGACGATCTGTAGGACAGAGTTAACTGCCTCAGAGGGTTCTAAGGTTGCAATCTTTACAGAGTACAGTGCCACATCTTCCCTTCCGGGAGTAGCTGGAAGGGTCAAGCAACCAGCTCTTGGTAAGCGGTCTAGGGCTCCTTAGACTGACGTTGTAGTTATGTTGGAGTTAGTTGTCGTTTAGTAGGCTCCAGTAGGTTATGACTGTTAACAATAGAACAAAGCACTGCCCGGTCCGGCACCACCCTCACAATTATTGTTGCTTGAGTCCATTGTTGCAACCACTGTGTCAATCTGTCTCCTGAGGGTCTTCCCTCTACTGTACCAAGCAGGATACTGCCAGGATTAGTCCCTCTTGATAACAGGCCCAAAGAATGTGAGGCTGCCTCGCTATCCTCAGTTCTATGGAACATTCTAGCTGTAGTTCTTCCAAAATAGATGTTTTGCTCTTCTGGCAGTCCAGGGTACATTTAATATTCTTCGATAACACCATAGTTCAAATGCATTGCATCTATAGCCTTTTCCCCTCATTGTTCAGCATTTGCGTACAGGTACGAGGGAAGTAGACATAGTATGGCTTGGGTCAGGTGCACTTTAGTCCTCTGCAACAGGCCATTTGCTTTCTTGACTGCTGAACCCTGGTATGTAGTGGTTAGGGGTTGGGCTGCTACCTAGAGTATCAGTGGTTCAAAACCACAAGCCTCTCCTTGAAAGAAAGACAAGGCTTTCTACTCACATAAAGAATTACAGCGGGAGGGAGCACTAGAATGGACTGCGATTGCACAATTCATTTTAAAGGCGATTTAACCAATGTGGGGGAGAGGGATGTTCTAAAATGGTTATGGGAATGGTTGCACAATTCTCTTTGATATGATTGAATGACTGAACGATTAAATTGTATGATATGTAAATTATATGCCAATGAAACTGTTAAAAAAAAAAGAATTACAGTCTCAGAAACCTACAGGGGCAGTTCTACCCTGTCTTATAGGGTCGCTGTGAGTTGCAATCAACTTGATGCCAGTGATTTGAGGGAGCTTCTATGGATGCTGATTGTAGATTTCAGTAAAATGAAATCTTGACCGCTTGACTAGTTACTCTGCTTATCATGAAGTTGCTTATTGGTCAAGTTATGAGGATTACTCTTTTCTTTATGTTGAGGTGTTATCTACATTGGAGGCTGAAGTCTTTGTGTCAAGCTCTCTACTTCAGCAAGCAGGTATGGGCGTGTCATTTGCATACCACAGGTCCTTAACAAGCACTGAGTATTCGGGAATTCCCATTCTTCTCAATGTTATCCATCATTTGTTATGATCTTCACAGCAGAATGTCTTTGCATAGTCAAATACAGGTAAGCACCTCTCCAATATTCTCTGCTTTCGTCAATGATCTCCCACATTCCACATCTTCTTCTTCAATTTCTGGTAATGCTTTATTGATGTCTATTTGAAATTACTTGGCTGCTATTAATCAGTTGACATTGAAACCAATAACTGTGTTCTATTTGAGAGTCTAGCCAAGATTCTGAGATACTCAAGAGTTTGGAAGAGGGCCTGTAAGTGCCTGTGATCTGAGACAGAGGCTCATTCTCGTTGCGCCACATCAAAACTTAGTACAGGAGGGCCAAGGGTCATTGTCTTATGAGCCACATAGAAAAAAGTTGTTGGGGGTCATATTTTTGGAAATTTTAGGATAATGACCCCTGTTGTTGCTGGGAAAAAAATTATATATATGAAACGTCTCACGGGAAGGAAATAGCTCGCCTGGTTATACAACAGGACCCAAGGCAGTTATCCCACCGTGTTGTTCCTAATGGCATGATTTGTACAGACTTGAATTGATCACATTCCTCTTGATTTTAATGAAATCACCTTGATTTTAATAGGTGAGACAAATGAGACAATCCACGACCAACAAAGATTAAATTAGTCTTTACTAGGACTTATGGATCTGAACGAAAGCGACTGGACTGGAGGTACCTTCTGAGGTAAACAATATCCAAAGTGCACTATTTTTGGGGGGAGGGGTGTATGTCACCATACCGATCGATCGTTCTTTGGCAGGCACCTTGATAACCAAGATCATGATTAGGCTATCTTCCATTGGATTTCTCTCTGTTTTTCCTAAAGATCTTCAGAAGCCCAAAGCAATAAAACCAGCAATTCTTCCTTTGTTGAAATGGAAGTGATTGACCACAGGAGAAAGTCACCACGTGCTTGCTCTGTAAGCACTGTGCCAGAAGCAGGGATGTGCGTCCAAAGTCCACAAACATAATGTGGAGTCACGCTGGAGAAAGGGCAGCTCCCATGTGGGTTAAAAGATGTCAGCTACAAGGTTCATACAATCACTTCACTCCTTTTCTTAGCCAGTAACCTTGGGAGGTGTCACAAGTGATTGTGTATAATCGATAAGCTAAACTGTTTGCTTGTTTCTTAAATCAGCTTTCAGTGATCAATAATGTCTGACTAAAGTCTTGCTTGTCCCTTGCTTGTCACAGGTACCCAGAGCACCAGTTGAATCTGAAATGTCTCCGGAAAGTGGGCTTGAGGAGAGGGGTCTATGTAATCTTCAGAAATCTGGATCCGGCCACTAACCCAGTTATTTCAAGGTTCCCTGCTATTATACAAGGAACCCACGCTTCACATTCTCACTGCCCCTGCCCCCTGGCTCTCTTCAAATTACTGCTGAAGCAGCTGGAGCCAGGGCTGCCGCAGCCTTGACAGGCCGCCAGCGCAGCTGCTGCTGGAGGGCAGGAACAGGAGTAAGATTCTAATTTGATCATCGACCTCTCTTATACTCAAGAAAGGAGACGCCTGTTCTCACTCCCTCTACCCCGCCTACCCCCCACCTCCCCCAAACAGAGTGAAAGCGCTTCTCATTCTGTTTGGGGGTGCCAGAGTGTCTCTCTCTATCCACAGGTATTAACAGAATTTTAAAACATACATATTGCCTAGGAGTTGAGTAGACGGCTAGCATATGAAATCCCATAGTCTTCTCCCAAACCGGGCCTCTCTTTGCTAGGCAACTCTCCTTTTCATTTTGAATCTCAATGATCCCACCTCTAGAAAGGAGGCAACACAAGGTAAATGAAATCATGCTGATAGAAAACTCTGCTCTCTAATTGTTACTACAAAAATAAAATATGATGCCTTCTTGCGATTATTGACCAAGTATTGCTCTGCTGGGCAGTATGGAAAGTGAGTCATTGGAGTTGGACTGCCAGATGCCGCGGCGCAGGAATAACCTGAACTCACGCATACAAGCGATCTATGATGGTGGCGCGCGGCCACGGAGGACCGTGATCAGCAGCTCTGACTCAGAACCTTGCTAAGGACACCGGCAGTGACTGTGACCTCAATCTTGCCCTCTGACGGAAACCAGCGCAAGCGCAGGGCGCTGATAAGTCCCTCTGGAATTTCTGCCCTCGCAGCTCCTAGGACCTGGCATCTGAAAAATCCTGATCTCATTTATGACGGCAGAAGCCCCTGTCCGAGGACGGGCGAGGGGAAACCTCACCAGCAGTCGGGTCTGTGGACGAAGGACTGTTTTGCCATCAAGAATCTAATATATTATATTCTGAAAAAAGAATCTAATGCTTTTCTAAGTTTTACACAACAAACAACATGTGCCAATGATTAATTCGTGTTTCCAGTTCTATTTATCAAAGGCGTACAGATCTGCCTATCAAAGAATCTAATTGGAGAAGGTAATCAGGGTCACCACACAAAAGCAGCTAAATCTGATGTTATGATTAGGGTATGAAGATTTGATGTAGTGGATAACTGGAGAAGTCCTGTTGGAATTAAATAACAAAAATAGCTTTGAATCTTATTATTTCCTTTGTGACTGTCTGCTGTGCCGATTATAAAGATCACAATAATGGACAAGAACTAGTCCCTGCCTTCAAGGTACTCGGGAGAGATGGAAGGTAAACAGCTTTATTGCTGAGATGAATACTGCAGCAGAGGTACGCCTCAGGTGAGAGAAGATGGGGCATCTAGAAAATTTAAAACCCAGGAAAACACAGCTACCTCTCTGCTGCCTGGCTAGGTAGATAGTAGTAGGAAGGGATGAGAACCAGAGACTAGTTAGAACTGGGTATCAGTTATTCTGTGTTTTGGTTTCTTGAAGAGTCAGCATTGTCTCTAAGGTGAAATCCCCACCATTGAGTCAACTCCAATTCATAATCACCCTACAGACAGACTAGAACTGTCCCCGTGGGCTTCTGAGACGAAGTCTTTACAGGAATGAGAAGCCTCATCATTCTCCTGAGGAGTGTCTGGTGGGTTTGAACCACTGGTCTTGTGCTTAGTAGCTCAATGTATAACCTAGTACATCACCGGGGCTTCCATGTGACAAAGAGGCAGGACAAATTCAATTAAATGTGTTGATTTCTGACCCTCTTAGGCCATTGCTTTAAGGATAGGAGGCTTAACGGAAGCAATAGACAGTATACATTCCATAGGATTTAGTGCCCTCCTCACCTCCCATCCCCCAGCCCCTTCGAGAAACACACACACACACACACACACACACACACACACACAAAATTACCTATTTTCAACATCAATAAAGCTTGGTTGAAACTCTCAATGAGAGCTTAAAACTGAAAGTAATAATAATAATAATAATGTCTGCTTTCCATAAGCACTGCGTCTCAAAGGGAAACTAAAACCATAACTCCCGTGGGCGCCTTCACTTCAAGGCACCATACCAGCTACTGTCGGTGTGGTGGGTTTTGCATTGGGCTGCTAACCACAGGTCAGAAGTTTGGACCTACCAGGAGTGCCAGGCTAGAAAGGTGAGGCTTTCTGCTCTCATAAAGACTTACACACTTGGAAACCCACTCACACTGACACACTCACACTGTTCTGCCCTGTCCCATAGGGTCACTGTGAACGGAATGACTGCTCATTGGTTCGGGTTTCTGTTAGTTACACACAACAGGTCTACCTGTGCAATCAGAAAAGCTGAAACTCAAAATATAAGTCAGATTCTAAAAATTAATCTGGAAAACGGAGAGGATCTTGTTTCACCACATGCCTAACTGATATGGCTCCGGGCAAATACGTCTAACTCTAGATCTTGAGAAACCACCTTGGATGAACGGGTCTGGTGCACTGACCTTGACATGAAGGTGTCCACGGGCGATGGGGACTTAGCTGTCCTTGGAGGAGCAGAGCTCATGGGAAGTAGACTCCGTGATCATTGCTTTAGTTTGCAACTCTCGTTGAGAGTTTCAGCCATAGCTTTAGTGATGTTGAGAGGGAGGTGAATCTCTGGAGGTAATCTTGTGTGTGTGTGAGTGTGTGTGTGTGTGTGTTTCTTGCAGGGGGTGGGAGATGGGAGGTGAGAAGGGCACTGAGTCCTATGCAATGTATAATGTTTAGCAACATCGCTGGTTTTTACCTATTAACTGCAAGTAGCACAGCCCCCTATTTGTGACAACCAAAAATGTCTTCGGACACTACCAAATGACCCTGAGGAGTGGGCCAAAATTAACAGTGATTGAGAACCACTGCTCTGAAACAACACATATTTTAAGCTTTGTATCTAAATTTATCTTTTATATCAATAATAAATAGTAAACCCAGGCAAATATTCCATCCTTTGATCTTCATAGTACCCCCAAATCTCATGCAACTCAAATTTTCACCTTTGCTCTTATTGCCTCCGGCACTAGGCAGACAAAGTCTGTGCCATGTAAGGAAAAGGACAATAGACAACAAATCAGGGAAACTTGTTTCTAGTCCTGACTCTGTCATTAACTAGCAGTGTGACATTGGAAGGGATTCCTGGTGGTGCAGGGCCTTGTCATTTGGTAGGCAGTTCAAACCTACCGCCAGAGCCCTGGGGCATAGTGGTTATGGATCGTGCTGCTTACTGCAAGGTCAGCAGTTTGAAACCACCTTGGGAGAAAGAAGGGGCTTTCTACTCCTGTGAAGGGTTCCGTCTCAGAAACTCACAGGGGCAGTTCTATCTTGTCTTGTAGCATTGCTATGAGTTGGCATCAACTAGATGGCAGTGAGCTTGCTTTTCCAGTCTACCAGAGGCGTTGAGGGAAAAGGATGTGGTGGTCTGCTCCCATAAAGATTTACGGAACTGGAAAACGTACGGGACAGTTCCACTCTGTCCTAAAGGGTCGCTATGAGTTGGAATCAACTCAGTGGCAAGGAGTTTGGTGTTCTGGTTTTGATGACGTTGAATGAATCCTTAAATCTCTCTGACTCTTCCTTGTCTGGTTTGTTTGTTTCACTTGTAAATGAAGGAGCCTGACTAAAATGTCCAGCTCTAACTGCAGAGTCAATGAGAGTCAGATTTTGTTGCCACCACAGGGTCAATTGCACAGACGAGACAAAGAAAGCTCTTTGTCCTAGAGTTAAGCTATCTAGAAGGCCTCCAGAGAGGATTTAATCCCCTGGAGCACCACCACAAGCATATGCAATCTGATCCTTTTCACAATCCAGACACCCCCCACCCCCCAGTAGTAAGATGCCAGAAATGCATCAGATGGGATTGAGGCATGACCATTCTGGATGTTGGCAAAAAGATGACCATGGAGTGAGGGACAAGATATTTCTTCCATTTTCAAAAACTGTTACTAGAAATCTGGGATCTGAAGTGATCGTCATAATAATTACCAAAATCAAAAGAGCAAAAAGGGATCAAAGCACTATGCTGCCAAATTTCTGCCAGAAAAATTCCTACATTTTAGCTCCCTGCTCCTTTGTTTGGAGGCTGGCGTGTATTTCAGTCCATGACAGAAAAATAACGTTGCGGTTACCTTTGTAAACACAGGTGCTGCGATGATGGGTTTTCCATCCAATCCTTGCAAATAGTTGGTAGGGCTCTGACCCGGCTGGAAGGGAAGCAACAAGAGTTACTATGATTAGAGAGATTGATAAATAGATATAGATAAAGGATTTGTATCTTGTATATGAAATTAACTTCAAACCAAAAGACTGGCATATCTATAGTCTGCCTGTGACTTCAAGTTTTAAAATGAATCGAATCATCTCTTTGCAGGTCATGGTGACTGTGAAATACATGCCTCTCATCCCGGCTGAATCATGGTGGCGTTGGGCTGCCAACCAGAAAGGAAGCAGTTGGAAACCCCCAGCCGATCTGGGGGAGAAGGATGAGGCTTTCTTATGTAAAGAGCTCCAGTCACAGAAACCCACAGGGGCAGTTCTACCCTGTCCTATAGGCTGGTCATGAGTCAGAACCCAACTGGGCAGTGAACATTTTGATCCTCTCTGCACATGAAACAAAACTTACCAAAACCTATAGGATAAGGTAGAACTGCCCCTGTAAACTGGGGACCAGCTGGTGGTTTTGAACGGCTGCTCATGTGGTTTGCAGCCAAATTCCTAACCACTATGCCCTCAGCCCCCCTTGGCACATAAAATAAACCCAAACTCACTGCCATCGAGTCAATGCTGGCTCATAGCAACCCATGTAGGTTTTCCTGAAACTATTTACAAGACTAGAAAGCCCAGTCTTTCTCCTGAGGAGCTGCTGGTGGTTTTGAACTGCCGACCATGCGCATGGCAGTCCAACGCATAACCACTACACCACCAAGGCTCCTTGCATGTAGAATAGGGTCGCTCTGAATCAGAATTGACTTGATGGCAGTGAGTTGACCACACACAAAGACTTATGTCATTAGCCCTGATCCTCTTGGCTTCCACAGGTCACAGTTTGAAAAAACCCTGGATTGGAGTAAAAATTTGACCCCTTTGCATTACTAAGAAGGAGCCTTGGTAGTGCCGTGAGGTAAGCATTGGCCTGCTAACCACAAACCTTGCAGTTCAAACCCACCTAACTCTGAAAAAGAGACTCCTGCAAAGATTGACTGTCCTGGAAAACCTGGATAGAGTCTTGATGAGTCAAAATCAACTCGATGGCAGGAGCTGAGTGAAGTCAGTAATTCTCGTTATGTATTTTTTTAGTTGCAGATCAATATATCTTAATATATTTACTTATATAAATTAGTAACTATTGGTATGACAATAACAATATCTTTAGATACTATGATTTCATATGTTTTAAAGTACAGTATGCCTATGAAGGGGCTTCAAAAAGTTCAGGGAAGTGGAATAAAAAGATATTGGATCAATAAAACAATTTTAAAAAGACATTGGAATTTCCCCACCTTTTTGGAACCCTTTCATATATTATTCTATATTCAGAGAAAATGCCTGTGCCAGAAACTATTAGTAGGCGATGCCTTGGGAAGTGGGCACCCAGGAGTCAAGCCTTCACTGTTTTTTGCTTAGTGCACTTTTGTACTTCCTGAAAGTTTTTTACAAGAAGCATGTATTATTGCTATTCATTACTTTGATGAACGCTCATGGTTGTTCCATTTAGAAAGTATAATTCCTTGAAGCTCCATAGTATAGAATGTTCATAGTATAGAATGTTCTTTTGGGGCCAGTGAGTGAGATGACAGTCCACAGTATATGTACTTCATACGCTTCATGAAACTGGAATATCAGAGATACCTATTTGGAAAGTTTTTTTTTAAATGAAATTTGTCTATGAAATCGCAGAATATGTCCCCAAAGCAAGAGGAGCCACTGATATTAGATAACAGAAGTACAAAGTGATTATTATGATCATGGAGCGTGTTGCCCAACCTCATTATGAAATTGCAATAAATGAAGTTAACGTATCAGGAAGGGGCATGATCATGTCGTACAAGGTGGTCGTGGTCATAGTGTCTTTCTGTCACCGCCATGGTCCTTGTACCTGCTGGATGGTGGACACACTGGGCTGGGCCACCAAAGTCTGGGCTGGTGGTGCCGCTGGAGGGATGGCTGCAGAGGTAGTGGGAAGGGCCGACTGCTCATTTGGCTTCTGGATTCTGAGAAATTATTAAAATATAGGTTATAAAACAGACCTAACATTGTTTATGACAATTCTTTCTTCTTTTTAAAAAAAAAAACATTTTATTAGGGGCTCATACAACTGTTATCGCAATCCATACACACATCAATTGTGTAAAGCGCATTTGTACATCATTCTCAAAACATTTTTCCCCTCCCTCCCCGCTCCCCGCCTCCCTCATGAGCCCTTGATAGTTTATAAATTGGTATTTTGTCATATCTTGCCCTGTCCGACTTCTCCCTTCACCCACTTTTCGGTGTCTGTCCCCCAGGGAGGAGGTCACACATAGTTCCTTGTAATCGGTTTCCTCTTTCCTACCCATTCTCCCTTTACCCTCCCTGTTTCGCCACTCACACCACTGGTCCTATAGGGCTCATCCGCCCTGGATTCCCTGTATTTTCAGTTCCTATCTGTACCAGTGTACCTCCTCTGGTCTAGCCAGACTTGCAAGGTCGAATTCGAGTCATGGTAGTGGGAGCGGGGAGGAAACATTTAGGAACTAGAGGAAAGTTGTATTTATGACAATTCTTTCAACAGAGTTATATAATGCCACTACTGCTTATATATGGATGTAATAAAAAAATCCTCATTCGACCATTTTCCACAAGTGCTGACTGAGGCATTCTCTGCTGTGCACGTAGACAGTGATGAATGAGATGAATCCGGCACTGCTATGTTGCCTGAAGTATATACGTTGTAAATCCTAAGGCCTGTGATCAAGAGTCCTGATGGGATAGTGGTTAAAGCACTGAGACGCCATTTAGAAAGTTAGCAGTTTGACCATAACAGCTACCCCAGGGAGAATGGTGTGGCCATCTGCTCCCATAGAGATGACCACCTGGGAAACTCTGGGCAGTTTCACTCTCTGCTACAGGGTCGGAAGGAGACAAAATCCAGTCAACTCGAAGGCAGTGGTGTTGAGGGTTATAATAAAAATTTGAAAAGGGGCTTCTCTGTTATATATTACTGCAATAGTGTTGTAAAGGGTATGTCATCAATCAATCTCCTGAGATAAAAAAAGAGGGAAAAAAATTCAAGCAAGCAAGCACAAACAGAGGGGAAACAAACACCCCACCTGATGGTCAGGCACCCTAGGGTTAGAAGCTGAAAAGGCAAGGCAGGCAGCATCACGCCTGTCCTTGAGTTAGTTGCTTTCAGAGTAGCCGGGGAGTCAAACACATTAACAACTTCGAGAGGTAAGACAGAAGCATGTGCGGAGGGGACTTTTGGAGATGTATTTTGTTGATGTCTTCTGGATCATTTTTTCAGGCCAGAAAATGATAGGATCAGAAATTTCTCTTAGAAATAACTGGTATGAGGGGTTCTCCCCCCTCCAAAAAAAACCTGGATTTTTTTTTCAAAGCTATGTATTTAAATTTTTTTACCAAACAGCTTAACAGTTTCAAAGTACTGTCCATTACACTTAATATATTTGTGAAACCTGCGATTCCATTCTTAGAAACATTTTTCAAACTCATCTGTTTGGATGGCTGACAGCACCTCCCTTGTTTTTTTCTTCACCTCTTCTACGTTGTCAAATTACTGTCCTTTCATGTCCCTCTTCATTCACAGAAACAAAAAGAAGTCACATGGAGGGAGGTCAGGTGAGTAAGGTGTGTGGGGAAAGAGAAACATGCTGTTTTTGCCAAAAACTGGTGCACTGAGATGGCTGTGTGAGCAGGTGCATTGTTGTGGTGGCAAAACCAGTCCTCCATCTGCCACAAACCAGGCCTTTTTGTGTGTGGCATATTGTTATGTAGTCTTTCCAAAACCTCTAAACAGAAAGCTTGATTAACAGTGCGACCTGGTGAAACGAACTCCAAATGTACTACAATTTTTCTGTTCAGGAAGTTGATGGACGTCCAGAAGGAGGTTTGTCATCAATTGACATTTTAACTTTTTTGAAACAAGAAAACCACTCGTACATTTGAGTTTTTCCCATAGCACTGTCCTTGTAAGCTGTGTTCAACACCACAACAGTTTCCGCGGCATTGTTCCTGAACAGGAAACAAAATTTCACAGCCGAGTGCTGTTCTCTTAAATCAGCCATCACAAAAAATGAGGTTCCAGCAAAAGCGCTCCTACGAAAAAATTCACTGGGACCAGAGAGAACCTTCCCAGGCGACACCACTGGGTGCACTAACGCAGGGCAAGTTGCTTGAGGCTTGCCTAGCAGGAAAACTGCCCAGTGCAATTTCTGTTTGTTTTTTTTGGGTACCCCCTCCTGTAGTTTGGATGCTAAAAGGAGAACAAAAGGCTGACGTTTACAGGAAGACCACAAAGGACATGCCTGACATAAAACCAAGCAGGAGAGAACAGGAAAACCATGAGAAAGACTAAGGGGGTCATTTCCACTAGTTATGAATTTCAATTTCTGCACAGAAGTTAAACTTAGATGAAGCTAAATTTATCTCATTCTAAGATAAACACACACAAAGAATCTTAAAGAACGGGACATGTTTTTTGCCCTGAAGGTGTTTACCCTCGCTAGAGGATAACAGAGTATACAAAACATTTCTAACAACTCTTCAACGACTCTTGTTAATGAATACACACACTGTATTTGTTCCAGGGAATCTCCATGAATAGCTACCACGTCTGTTTCCAGTTTCCCTGCCTTCTGTGCACAGCCTCCTCTGCCTGAAGCACCTTTCCTCCCTTTGACTTGGGGGTGTCTATCCACTTGTCTTTGAGACTCAGATCAGAGTCTCTCCTCGTCATGCTCATCCCTCACTGAACCATTAATAGTCCTTTGCGTCAAATCCAATATAACCATATATGGTTATGTTATGGAAGCTGCTATACATTCTTATTCTTAAGGGCTATCTGCATGGTATATGTTTTAAAAGTACCTGCTGTATTAATGTCTCTACTAGACTATTAGCCAGTTGTAGGCAAGAAATATCTGAGTTTTCTTTATATCTAGTGCAGCTAGCACGGTGCTTGATATAGAGCAGGTGCTCAGCTAATGTTTGTGGAAATGAATGAATGAATGAATGAATGAATGGAAGGATGCAACTTTGATTAGTGGTCAGTGCAGATGCTGAAAGTCTATGACTTGTCCAGATCATTTCACATATAAAGGAACTTCAAAACGTTTGTGGGAAATTTTCATGATCTTTTCATTCCACTCCCTGCAAACTTTCTGAAGCTCCTTGGATTAAGAAGATAAGTAAAAGAACATTGCTATAAAATCATGGAAATTTTTATTGAACAGAACTATCAAAATGTGAAGTGAGTGCTTCTTAAAAACATTTTTTTAAAAATTTTTCTTTTAAAGCGAATGCTCCTTGGTATATCCTCTCTCTGGGTCTGTACACCATCTGAAGGCAGTCTTCCATCTCCCTAACCTCTCCTGGAAGAATTTTGCATTCTTTAATTTGCAAGCCAGCATGTGAAAAAAAATCAATACACCACTTTGGACATCCATGAGGGACTCAAATCATGTTCCTTCCCCTTGTTTTGTGACTTTGGGGGGGACAAACAAGCCTCCAGGGGTAAGATAATGACGGTATAGTAGCTGGGGCACAATTGGCCAAAGGCCATCTCGGAGGGTAACCCCTGCTGCACCTGAAGCATGAGCAGGTGCATTTCCGTGACGGGAAAATATTCCTCACTGCAGCTTTCCTGACTTATTCCTCACCGATGCAGGTTTCCATTTTTAAAAACCTTTTCCTAGTAAACCATGGGATCATCCTATATTCTTTAGAATTCCCCCTTGGGAATCCCAAGAATCAGTCACCATAACTACTGAGCTGACCTCGAGCCCTGGTGACGTAGGGGGCTATGCGATCTGTTAACTGCAAGATCGGCAGTTTAAACCACTTGCTTTCCCGAGAAAGGCTTTCTACTCCCAGAAAGAGTGATGGGCTCGAAAACCCACCGGGGCAGTTCTACTCGGTCCTACAGGGTCACTTCACTGTGAGCTGGACTCAACTCAGTGGCAGTGGGTTTTGGAGTTTTCTTCTGTTTTTGAGCAGATTCTCTGGACATCACTGTTTTGATTGGCTGTTTTGGGGAAGGCACCCTAAGGCTAAGAAGACAGGCGTATTACCGAGTGAACTTGTCTGTCGCCAGCCACTGACTGGAAGAGACCCGTTTCACACGCTGTGTTTGGAATAAATGCATGCATGTATGAGCTGCGATCCCAGTAGCAATACTTCTGGGCTTACCCTGGTGTGTATCAAACCTAAAAGTTGGCAGTTTGGAAGAAACTACAGAACTATAAAAGAAGGGCCTGATGATCTGCTTCTATAAGATAAGAGCCAAGAAAATCCTATATAAAACCCTATTTATCTAGATGTAATTTAATATAACCAGATATTGTGCTATTGGAGTATTTTAAACCACTGAGTTATTTTTACTTATTTATTTTACTGGGTAGAAAAGTGATATGACACTTCATTGGTGATACTTCATCTAAAAATATTAAGCCTATTAAAATAAGCTGCTAAGAAAGATTAAAGGGAAAAAAATAGAGTTTTCTCCAAATCTACCCAGTCTTTTCTTTTGAGGTCATATCCCGCAGCCACTCCTGCAGATTGAAATTTTTCATAACCAGTTCCCAAATTTCTCAAGATCCGAAAATGCTAAGAGAGAGGCTTAGAGTCTGTTAGACAGAAAATTAGAATTACCGATTCATCTCTTCTTTGTTTGGATCCCCCTCTGAGTCAGAAGATGAGACCCCTGGAGGAATAAACACAAGATAGGAGATTTTAAAGATAATGATTTCTTCAATTGGTTCTTAGGTATCGGAAGACCTATAGAGTCTAAGACTTAGAAATGAACTCTAATACTCAGTGTTATCCAGGAGAAATTAAGATCAGATGGGAACTGAGGGATAGAGTTCAAATTCTGTGGTTCAATTTCCAAGTGTTTTTGTATGTGAACCATCTTTTAAAAAAATCATTTTATTAGGGGCTCATACAACTCTTATCACAATCCATACATACATCAATTGTGTAAAGCACATTTGTACATTCATTGCCCTCATCATTCTCAAAACATTTCCTCTCCACTTAAGCCTCTGGCTTTAGCTTGTATGTGAAACATTTATTACTGCCTTTGGACTCCCAATGAACACCTTTGCAGCCATTCTCTGTTGGCTGCAATTCCTCTTGGCTTTCACAGATTGAGTAAGGAAGGGATTAAGTTGGATTCCAAATATTGTAGGTGTAGGTGGATGCCCTTCCGTCCAGTCCTAATATTAACAAGTTGTACTTCAACGGGGGTGTTTAAAACCCTGTTGCTACAAGGAGGGGGAAAATCAGCAATCCAATCTCAGTGCTGTTAGCAGAGCTTTGATACCGGATTTAACTCTCAAAATAGTGAATTCCAGGAAGACACGACAGAGCTAAATTTGGAGTTATTTATTATACCCCAAAAATTTGAGAATAAAAATATACCAAGACACTTCTATGTATCCTTTAATTCAATCATAGTTTCTTGACAAGCCACCATGGGCTTGGAACAATGAAAAGGTATTGGAGATATAAAGAAGAATGAGACAATTCTGATTCTAAACTCTGGTTGGTAAATGGGCATTTACACCATAGCAATGAACATGAAGTGCTAAAATAATAGATTGTACAAGGTATTGTCAGTGGGAAAGGAGCTAAAGATGCCCCTAAAAACTTCAGAAGATAATATACATAGGAACTAAAACTTCGATGAGCATGCTAAGAACCTAAGTTGATTTCTTCCCTGAAGGCAGTTATGTAGATTTGGTGGCAGTAGATATGCCTTTCCAAGGTCCCCAACTTGTCTCCCTGCAGTCGATTCTTAACAGTAGCCAGAATGAGCCTGGGACAAACTAGTGAGATCATGGCGTGCCTCTGCTCAGAATCCTCCAGTTTCCCATCTCCTGCAGTCTAAAAGCTGACGTCCCGACAGTGACCTACACACACATACATGGTCTGCTTATGTGCCTTTCTCTTCTCCATTGTCAACCTCTAACATCACTCCTGTGACTTTTCTCCCTCGCTCCCTGCACTCTGGCCACATTGGTGTTTCTCTGTATCTTAAAGCAGGAACATGCCTATTTCAGGACCAATGGTCTTATTGGTTTCTCTGCCTGCGGTTTTCTCACCACCCTGCCTACAGTTGCAACTTTCTCCCTCTCTCTTTCACACACACACACAACACACACACACACACACACACACACACGCATACCCTCACAAATAGACATATACACAGTAAAACATACTCACTCTTATGCACATTTTCCTTGTTTTGTTTTTCTTCTACAGTGCTTACAAATATAGTGCTTATTTTATCTATATTTTATTTTTGAATATGTTTTATTTAATCTCATTTGTTTTGTTTCTCTCTTTATAACTTCCATGAGCCTATAGGTGGGGACTCCTGGTGGTGTGGTGGCTATGAGTGGCAATCCACATGGTCAGCAGTTTGAAACCACCAGCAGCTCCTTGAGAGAAAGACTGGGCTGTTGACTCCCGTGAACAGTCACAGTCTTGGAAAGCCACACAAAGTCACTAAGAGTCAGCACTGACTCAATGGCAGTGAGTTTGTAGATGAGGGATTCTTGTTTGGTCCCTGTCTGTAGCTCCACTGCCTAAATTAGGGTGTAGTCTAGTAGACCTGCAATAAACATTTATTATAACTCTATATCTTACTAATAATTGCCATGCTCAATACTTTTTTTGTTTACCTTCTATATAAATCTCAGCAGATGTTGAATCTGTCCCATAAATGTTAGAAGCAAAGCAAGAATAACGTCCCGTGTCTTCTTCAAAGGCTTCAGAAATGGTCAGTGAGTGCAGACTTCCTGCTTGGATGATGTGAATATCTGGGGAATTCTCAAGCTCCTTGCCTTCACAGTACCACCTGTAAGGAAAGGAATATGCCTGTTGGATATGGCCAAAACTGTGCGCAGTAATGCCAGAGACAGCTCTGGGTTACATTGGCCCCAGACATTCTCGTCAAAAAACGATGACAAACTTAATTTGGAACCAGAACATTAAACAATGGGTTATTATGGTGGTGTTTGGTTGTAACAATGAGATTTGGCAGTATTCAAACATGAACATTTTACTCAGGAAATTAAAAAGCGACTCCTACTAAAGAATGATATAACTGAGAGATCGGTGGAGAAACAAATATAACCAGGAAGAGTAGAGCGTTTCATTGGGAACTTGGCTTCTCAAACAACTCATAGGTCTGTAGACCAAATCATACCCACTCTTCACCTACTGATCAATGTAATCAGGCTTCAAAGACTACAAAATAAAGGATAACCATATCACAACATAACTGTCAAGTTACATCCTTACATAACTACCAAACTTTCTCATTATATAACCATCAAAGCACATCATTGCGTAACTTCCCAACCACTGAGAATCATGAACCAGCTAATCTGACATAAAACCTGAACCATCACATCAGCCTTACTCTCTCCCCTTCCCTTGGCATTTGTTCTTGCCAGACATATATTGTTTCTGTGCAAAGGAGTTGAACAGTAATTCTACCATCATTGTAAATGCAAAATGTTGGATAATGAAGTAGTCAAGAAATAAGGACTAGGTATACTACCCACTAAATAAGTGCTGTTGTTGGTTATTTGAAGAGGATCTAAGTAACTGTGGTAGTTACAGAATCTGGTGTCAATTTGAGAATTCAGAGTGAAGGGGTGGAGTCTAGCCTGTCAATCAGGTAGTAGCTTGATGACCTCACTTGGAGTTGCTAAGGACATAAATAGCTCCCTGGAGGCAGGACACATGCTCACTCCCTGTGAGACATCCCTGTGGAGAAGATACATGGGGAGAGGCTGATGGAGTCAGACTTCTGGAGCCGGAGAAGCCACGTGGAGACCCCTGCCAGCGCTGAGATGCTTACAACACCATTGGGTCCACAAGACTTACCCCCCACTGACCTGTGATTTTTTCCTGCATTCAGCGACATTGCATGCATTTTGTGAGTCTGAAGAGGGCTTTATAGATTGGTATCGGACATGTCGGCCAATATTGGACTTATGGACTTGATTTGGACTGGGATATTTTCTCAATATTCAACTGCTCTTGTATATAAAGCTCCCTCTTATACACATGAGTGTCTATGAATTTGTTTCTCTAGTCTACCCAGACTAACACAGTAATATTAAAAGTTTGTGAAGCCAAGTACATTAGTTTCCTAATATTCCATGGCATCTGACCTAGTTATAAGTGAAAATTGGAAAAAAGGAGGACACGTCAAATTGTCTCAGAAGTGGTCCCTCTCTGGGAAATGACTTAAGCTAACTATGTACCTACAGTTTGTAGCATTTTCTTTTCATTCTGTATATTTGAAGTGAAAATTTTTTATTACAACTTAGATTTTTTAAGGGAAAAAATTACAGAACAGAATACATAAGACAATGTTTAAAATGTGGAAGCTGTGATAACAGAAATGCACCTGAAACCTACCTGGAAACACCATTTAGCACCTGAAAGACTGACAAAGTGTAAAACATTATAGACTGTTTAGGGAATTTTAAATGGTGCAACACCTAGAAAAGGAAGGAGGCAATATCTGCCATTTATCATTTGTTTTCACGAGCCCACTTCCGAGAAGCTATCCCTACACATGCAGCTGAATGCATCGAAATGACAGATAAGCAAGATGACTTGTTGTGTCATTGTTTGAAATAACAAAAGATTGGAAGCAACCCAAGCGACCATCTTGAACAGACTGATGAAATAAACCACGATACAGAACACTATGCATCCCTAAGAGGAGGATGAGGAAAATGGGTTATTATGTGCCGAGATGAGCAGATCACAGAGATATAGAGCTAAATTTTAAACATGCCGATACAGAGTCGCACAGATCGTATGGTAGCTTTTGTGTAAGAAACAAGGGGTACGGAATAACAATATATTCATGTTGTTTGTGTTTGGGAAAATAAATGCCTATCTCTGAAGTAAGCCATAGATAACGCTCTACCCCCCTTGCTTGCAGTTCTGTGATAATTATCAATTGACAGCATGTTTTTGTTGTTCAGTGCCACCAAGTTAGATCCAACTCATAGGCGCCCTGTGTGCAGAGTAAAACAAAACTGCCCAGGTCGCCACCCTCTGCACAAGTATTACCATGTTTGAGACACAAGTGTCAGCCCAAAGTGTTCTACAATGATCTTTCCATCATTTTTTAAAGCAAGATTGGCATGAGTGAACAATGTAACCAATGTACAAGTCTTATATTAACCCATATGATCCAGAGAGCATGGTCCAGTCTAGGAGCTTTGGTGGCATAATGGGTTATACATTGGGCTGCTAACCACAAGTTGAGCAGTTCAAAACCACCAGCTGCTCTTTGGGAGAAAGGTGAAACCGATAGGGGCAAGTCTACTCTGTTCCACAGGGTCACTCTGAGTCAGAATCAACTCAATGGCAGTTGAGTGAGTTTTTGAGAATCGATAAAATTACTCAAAAGACACAGGACAGTCCCAGTGGCTTACTATTGGTGAGAAAAGGGTTAGGACAGTTGTGCTGAGGAAATTTTATCCATCACTACAATGAACCTGCTCACTCTTTAAAGGTTGTAGCAAGGGCTGCCTGTGTTAGTCTGGGTACATTAGAGAAGCAAATCCACAGAAACTCATATGTATAAGAGAGAGTTTTATATAAAGAATAAGTGCATATCAAGAAAACATCCCAAACCAGTGCTGCCCAAACCCACAAGTCCAACATTAGCCCATATGTTCTATACCAATCCACAAATTCCTCCTCCATCTCAAAACACGCACACTATGATGCCGACTGCAGGAGGAAAGCCGAGTCAGTGAACATGTAAGCATCTCAGTGCTGGCAGGGGTCTCCACACGGCTGCTCCAGCACCCAGGGCTGCATCGGGGCAGGTCCATGTGGCTTCTCCTCAGGGATGTCTTGCAGGAAGTGAGCCTTGTCAGCTGAAGCAGGGAACTGGCTAAGGCAGCTGCACCCTGGTCCTACCATCACAAAGCAAGAGATCCGAGAACTCGAAAGGCGAGGCTCACCGAGCCATATATTTCTCCACCCTTCAATTAACCCCACATGTGTTTATCAGCCAGGTTGGCACACTAAACTTTAATTATCTCAAAGCCGTACAAGAATTTCTTTAGGAAATACTACCACATCCATCCTACTTCTTCCTGTTCTCCGAACTCAAAGAACATTACTAAGGAACACAATTTGAGTCTCTTGAGGATGCCAAACTGTCGTTTTGACGTGGTGTAAATTGAAGCATGCAGAATTTTTGGATGAAGGGTTAGAGAGATGGAAACACCACCTTCAGGAAGTGCTGTAGACAGATAGAGGAGATGTCAAGAAACAATCACTTTACAGTTTGATCGTTTTGTTTGATAAAGGGCTTATGATTTTGTAGCAATATAGATTTACTTTCTCTTGTAGTATCCTCAGTGCCTAGTATGGTTCTCTCTATACTTTTTCCCTTACCCTTCTTATCTCACCCCAATCATTTCAAATTTTAAACGATCATTTCTCTTTGGGATGACAGTCAAGTCTACATGTTTAGCCTTGACTTATGATCTTCATCTTCTATCACACCTCCCTTCACTCATTCATGTACCAACCACATGAGCCTTCTTTCAATTCCATGGATACGTTAAGGTTTTTCCCATCTTCAGGTCTTTGCACCTTCTAGAATCTTCTCCCAGATAGTGACCAAAATACAGGTCTTTCTCATCAATCATGTCTGTGGTCAAACATCACCTTCCCTGACCTTCTTCCTGACATACCCCCCTTACCCTCAATCACTCTGTCCCATACCCTGCTTTAGGATCATCTTAATGATTATTTGATTATTATGTTAGTCTTACAACTGAGACCATCTTACTTATCTGTTTTGTTTGATACTGTTTGCTTTCTGCACAGGATTGTAAAGTCCACAAGAGGGCCTGGTCAGTTAGTCTACCACTATGACCCTAACCCACTTGCTGTCCTGAGCAGATTCTGCCACAGAGCAACCCTCACAGGGTTTTTGAGGCTGTCGCTTCTTATAGGTGTAGACAGCCTCATCGTTTTTCCCCTCAGAGTGGTTGAACCACCAACAGTTCACAATCTGAGACTTAGCCGATAGAGCTACCAGGGTTCCTTCTGTAGCCCTAGTACCTAAATGAGTGTCCTAGGACATAGCAGATACTCAGAAAAATGAGTCTAGCGGATTTATTGAAAGACTGGATGATAGAAAGACCTAATGCTCAATGTTTCACAAATATTTGCTATTTGACTCATCAAATTCTATCTCAGGCTTGAATGTCTGCTTGACAGCGGCAACGGTATGTGTAGCTGTCAAGTGGGCTCCTAAAGTTCCCAAGGCAGAAATCTCAGGAAGACCCTAATGAGCTTGCATGATCAAATCTTCAGGCTGTGCAGTTCCACATACAAATGCAAGCTTTCTAATGAAACATGGCATGTTGAGCACTTCTGTTTATCTTTATTTCCCTCTTTAAATGACCCCTAGGGGAGGGAGGGTAAAAAGAGGAACTGATACCAAGGGCTCAAATAGAACGTAAGTGTTTAGAAAATGATGATGGCAACATATGTACAAATATATTAGATACAATTTGATGTGTGGAATGTTGTAAGAAATCCCAATAAAATATTTTAAAATAAATAAATAAATAAAATGATCCCTAAAACAAGAAGAAAGGAAATTCTTTTTTTTCAATTTTTAATCATTTTGTTTTAAAAAAA